TTTTTAATCTTTCCCCCGTAGAAAGTTGTTTAAAATGTGTAAAACACAATTCCAATGAATTAAACGATAAATCGGAGGAATTAATTAAAAACAAAATCTGCAGCAATGGTGATTTATATTTAAAAAATCCCTCAGATGCGATATTTGCAGTCTCAGTGCTGCATATTCAAATATTTATGGCAGAATTTCAAGCATGGCCAAACCAACCGTTTATTTGGAATGTAATTCTTAAGAAATGTGTTGAAGAAACTAATATGAAATATCCATATTGGTTTGCAATATCCGATCCATGTGCTTCACATAGACGAAACATACTTATACGCTTAATAAAAGTATTGTTGCATTGGCATTGCAAATGGCTGCATGAGAAATTCACCAGCGAGAGAAATCAAATCCTTAAAATAAATCAAGAATTAAGGAATAGAAAACAACATTGTTCATCTATAGAATTAACTGATTACTACAGTTGTTGTCATGAAGAACTTTAATTTCAACATGTAAAAAAACATGGATGGCAGAATTTATTTTTGTGTAAATACATACAAATAATAAATGACTGTCTGATCTACCATATTTTCCTATTTTGGAAAGTAAAAGATCACTGATGAGGAAGAGTGGTTTCTTCCGAAACAGTCTATGTTTAAAAGGAGTGAGTTGGTAAGTATGTTTGAATTATCGAAATATACTATTAATTAGAATGATAATTGCAAAGCAAGCTAAATGAAACAAATAGTTAATATATTTAAAAACAAGGGAGGAATCGGATTGAATTTTCGGGCTAATTCAAGACGGACAAATTTAAGGCAAACGTCATCTTTCTGCCACACTTACCCTGGTATATTAGAAAGAGTTAAAAGTCGGAGTCGGGGTTTCATCTTGGTAGCTTTTTCAGTGTCTGTTCCGGCAGCTACAAATATTCCGACCGGAAGCCGCTGCCCAGAGTCCCGTGTTCATGCTGCGCAATGTAAATTCCTCGAACTCCCTGAATTTAATTCCAATTCCGCATGAAAACACTAAGAGCAGTGCCCAGATGGCCTGAAACAAGACATAAAAAGCTTGGTTATTGATGTTATTTTTAAGAATAATAAGTAAATTATATAGCTATTATTAATATACATAATATATATATATAATATTTGCTCCAGTTCAGCTCACAAGGCAAGATTCTCTTCGTCCAGCAATACATGTTTAACGAAGACGCACGAATCCTTCTTAAAATGGCGATCGCAGAACTCGGTTATGCTGGCGCAGGCCTCATCGATCATTGTCTTTGGAATGGTGTGCACGACGCACACATAGCCCGAATACTCAAAGAAGTTTCCCGGCAGGCAGAAGACACTCTGCTCATTGACCTCCAGCTCCAGCTTCAGGACAAAGTGGGTGTCATCCTTGGGAAGGCCGGAAGGGGTTCGATGTCCACACCGATCTTCATGTACATGGCCCCATTGGGCTTCACGGGGTTAAGGCCAAGCCTGCTTTACCATTTTGTTGCTGTTGCACTGGGAAATATAAATATATATGCTAAGAAATATAGATCTAGATGCGGAATTTGAAGACCTACATGCAGCACATCGATGACACCGTCAAAGTAAGATTTCAGCGTCTTGGCCAAAATCTCTGGCAAGGCGTCCTGGACCAGGGTATTGGAGTCCCAGGTTGCGGCCACATATGTATATTCCTCAAACCCACCCCCGCATTCAGCTCATCCGCCAGCCCGGAACCAAGAAACGTCTGGTAAGTCCGCCGCAGGAGAGAACTGGGACCTTCGTGGTGAGGCTGCTCACAGCTACATGCTTGGAGCCAGGGTACACAAATTCCTCATAGAATCGCAGAGAGCATTGAATGATGACACCTCAACTGCTATGACGGGCAAATAGTGGCGGTGGAGAAATATTTCTTAATAAATAAAATGAACATACGAACATACATATCATATGTACATTTATGTACTGACATGGCAGCTAGAAAAAAAGATAAGAAAAGCTTTCTTCATTTTCTGGATCTCACACACACAGAAAATCACAAATGCATTTACACTTACTGAATAAAGTGATGTACTCAAAGAAACATTATTCCCTGTCCGCCGGAGATTGGAATTGTTGACCCGGTATCCGGGCAAAAGCATAGCCATCACGCCGAATACACCACACTCACTCACACACGACATAATCGCAGGCTGTGACAGAAATATTAGTTGCTTGCTCTTGTGCAAAACCCACCCATGATAAGGATTGGGTTCTAGATAGCCGTGCTTATCCTTCCTCCGGTTGAAACACATTTCTTTTTAACATTTTAACATCTTTTTCTATTATAGCGAAACTTTACACGAGATATGATAACTTCCGGAAGCCGGATCCGATATATATATCGGTATATATCATATATCCAGTGTATCCACACCAGTTAGTCCAAATCAAGTTGGCCACTTTATTCAAATCTGTATATTCAAGGTAAACAGTGTAAATACAAATTAAGTAAATTTATTGATTTTTAAGTGGTAGGTGGTAGTGTTCGTTTACTATATTAAATAATAATAATAAAAACTTAAATTGACCGATTTGCTTTTAGTATTAGTTATCGAGTAGTTATCTCAATTTGCTCATGTAGCCCTTAAGTAGTGTGGCGAAACGGCTAAAGTTAGCTTAATGAATTAAATACCAAATAATAATACATTTTAACAATTTTTCCTAACTGTTCACAAAAACATCCGATATAAAAACCTTTATTGTAAATTTTTATACGATCGATGTAAAATTGTATACAATATTTATAAGATATTGAACCTTTAAAATAAAAAAAATTTGGAAGAAAACATGGCAAATCAATTCATTATATTAAGGGCGATTAAACAGAGCCGGAGCACTCGAAGCTCATGAGGATTAGCAGACAATGGTCAAGCTGGCAATAACTCTGTCAAATGGGCCACGGACGGAACGACCAAGTAATTCGCTTGATGATCCCAGTGTAGCTCCTCGCCATCATAGCGGGCATTGGATGGCGAAGCCAAAATCAGGAACACTGAAAGAATAATGTTGATTTAACTTAAAACTTAAGTACATAAGTCAAAATTCTCACCGAAAACAAGAATGTGAAGCACTCGAATTACTCCATCTTCATGTTGAGCCAAAGCGTAATCTCCACCACTTGACACACCTCTGGATTAAAGATGTGGCTGTCCAAGCCTCGCTCCCGCCTTCCGAAAGTTAGATGCAGGCGATCCTCATTAAACGTTACCATCCAGGGGCTGACCAGGCTGCACAGCCACACTGAATTGGCATGAAGCGGCAGAGATCTCGCCCGCTTGGCCGGATGATGAACCGAGTCCGAGGGAATGGGCCTCGCTTCTTCACCCAACGCGTCGGTATTATATACATATGTACATATGTACGTAGGTCTCAAGACAACCCCCATTTTGGATGAGGACTCGTGTAGCGTGTAGCGAACGGCATAATACAAATACAAGTCCACTTTGCAAAGAACAGGCGGCGTCACACACACAAATGTGCCTGCCAAGGGTGTAGCAAGCATACATGCACACATACATGCATTCAAAATGGCGGCCATAATGGACGCGCAAATAAAGATTAAAGGCAATTGAGATTGGTTGCTTTACGTAAATTTATTAAAAATGATTTACAATTGATTATTATTTAAGTCCTGAGCGGCCGGAGCTGGAGCGGCCGGAGCTGGAGAGGCCGGAGCTGGAGCTGCGGCCGGAGCTGGAGCGGCCGGAGCTGGAGAGGCCGGAGCTGGAGAGGCCGGAGCTGGAGAGGCCGGAGCTGGAGAGGCCGGAGCTGCCTCTGCGGCCGGAGCTGGAGAGGCCGGAGCTGCCTCTGCGGCCGGAGCTGGAGCGGCCGGACCTGGAGCTGCCTGAGCGGCCGGTCCTCTCGAGCCTCTTCGGCCGCGCGGGCCTCTCGGCCCAGGTGGCCCAACTCGTTCAATCCTTCCCGCTCGAACTGCGCCACCTCCCCTTGCGCCACCTCTAGCCGGGGGAACGGGGATGGCGGCATTTGGCACGTGACCGGCTGCCCCCCCTCCCCTTCCATGGCGCCCACGCCGGGGTCGACGGCCACGCTGGGCAGCTTGCGATGGAATTTGGTGATTGTTGGGAGCTGGTGCAGCTTGCGGTTGGAGTTGGTCGTTGTTGGGACCTGGTGCATTGGGAGCTGGTGCAGGACCTACACCAAAGATTGGTGGTACGTTAACCGATACAATCATACCCATGATCTAAACAACGTACAAAATTCAATTTTTTTTGTTAATTTTACAAACTTGGCACAAACTTACGCGCGTCCTCTCGCTTCCTTCTTTGTTTTTAAAGTGACCGAGCGCGTTTCTAGTGAAGCCTTGGTAAAGCGATCATAAAAAAGCGCATAATAAAAAACCAAAAAGTGTCCAACGACTTTTCAAATTTTTTGCGATCTTTTGCACCATCACGCCCCCCTTTGTTTTTTGTTTCAAAAATTTGACATGTAAATTGCATGTAGCAAAACCTTGTTTACACAAGTTATCATCAAGCTAACAGAATTGAGTCTGCAATCGCCTCTTTACAGGCTTTTGCTTATGGAATTTCACAGAATGACAGCTTAACAGGGGTTTGCTTATGGAATTCCCAAATTGAGCGGGCGTTTAACAGAATTTTCTGTTAAAATGAGAGTTTAACAGAATACGGTAACATAATGAGATTAACAGAGTCCTTAACAGGGTTTTGCTTATGGAATTCCACAGGTTGACAGAATTTTCTGTTAAAATGACAGCTTAACAGGGGTTTGCTTATGGAATTCCCAAATTGAGAGCTTAACAGGGGTTTGCTTATGGAATTCCCAAATTGAGAGCGTTCATCCGAGAGAGTGCTATTTGGGAATGGACGATAACGATAGACAGACACGGATGTGGGATGTGGGATGGGACAAATTGATGATGGGATGATGTGGAACTATCGATGATAGCATCTGGTTAGTGTGATGAGATCAAAATTTAATATCGATAAGTGAAATATCGATGGTTGATGGAAATATATATATATATTATATATATATATTTACTCAGCTTACGCCATTGATTTCCGACAGCGAATTTTAACCAAAAGCTATTGTTAAAATGTTCCAAAACAGCGCTGCTCGTCTCCTGGTGCCCGCTATCCGTAGCGCCATGCAGAGCCGTTGCCAGTCGGTTGTCTCCGGCCCACCAACGAAGCACGTCTCCACCGCCGTAAGTTTTCCTGGTTGCATAACGAGGATGTCTCGTCCAAGAGGAAACCAATGCCTCTTAACAAATCATAATTGTTATTATTTTTATTGCAGGAGAAAGTTATCCTGGGCGGCGGCATGTGTGCTGCGTCTCTGTTCATCCCTGCCTGGGTGCTATACCATATTCGGGATTACAAGGGCGAGAAGTAATCTTCCAGCTCCATCCGACACATATAGTTAATACCCATGTAAAGTAAAGAATGGTGTTTTCGAGAACCAAAAATAAACAAAAGTGGATTGAACCTTAAGCAGACTGATTTATTATGCGTGTTTACGGAGTTTTTTTTGTTTATACATTTCGAAATCATTTCTATGGCAGCTTTATATATGAGATCGTAATATATAATAAGAATAGAAAGAAGACTGCAAAATCTCTTCAAATAACTCAAAATCTGAGAGACTAGTTTACGTAAACACGGACAGACGGACATTGTTAAATTTACTACGCTGTTGATGCTGATCAATGTGTTGCAAACTATTGACTATAATTATAATACTTTGCCATAAAAATGTCGAAATGCCTAGCTTGGAAGAAATCTAAGAATACTTGGAGTGAATTCCTGAGCTCTTCATATATTCAGCGGAACTTGATTATTTGATTTAGTTATAAATGTCCTGATAACTGGTTGTTCTGCCTTCTTTTTTTTAACTTGAAGTGTTCTATTTTGCACACATTTCTTTCTTCTACTTTTTTTCCGAACTTGGACCAAAGTTAATATGTTTACCTGAATTTTTTACATCTTTTCGTAAACATTGTGTAGTAGCCTAATACTAGTAGGTAATGTAATATTTTGATATTCAAAAGATAATACCTAATTACAATAACTAAAACTTTTTGTTGAAACACTTGTATTTTCCGCAAAAGTATGTATGTATTTTGAAAAATACCTACGTAATTCATTAGATATATATGAACATAATACATCAGAAATATCGCTCTGGGATTATATTTGGTGAAGTCCTGCTGCGAGCCGCGAAGGTCATATGTAGTGCATCACCGTTTTATGGTCGCAATTGCACTTCTTTTTTTGTAGGTACATCGATTTTTATTAGATTTTAAGTGGTGTAACCATCAAGTCTATGTTAGATAGGAATTTTCAAATTGATCTAAACGGGACGACTATATTTTTAAATGTTGATCCAATTAAAACTAGTACAAATATATGATTGGACTTGGCTACAGCTGCAAGAAAATAAGAGATAAGAGAAGCTAATGGCCACGAATTCGTGGGAGTAAGAGTCAAGAACCTTCTTCAGACATACAATTTTTGTTTTTAATAAACATTAAGTTTATTATAAACGGTGAATTTTTTTTGTTTCTCAATCTAAGTCAAATTTAAATAAAACCCTTTTATCAGCGGCTTGTGAAATTTGTAATATATGTATTTTCACTTGAAGCGTAATTTGAAAGGGCTTACAAATGATTTTAATGGGCATATAAAGGTTTTAAACGAGCTTATAAGCTATAATCATAGATGCGTTTTACTTCTCCTGTGAGTCCTTGGGGTCGCTCTTTTTATCCTTGTCCTTGTTAAGGGATCCGACAGCATCGCGAACAGCCTCAGACTGGGGATCAACACCAGGCAGATTCTCTAGCACACTCTGCAAGAAGGCCGGGTCACCAATCACCTCCGAATAGTCCTCGTCCACGTCCATGGGAGCATTGGCTTCATCAGTCTTCGGGCGCTTCGCTTGTTGGGTGACTGTATCATCAGGAGCATCCTGCATTGACATCTGCATGGCAAAAGCGATCTGCTCCTCCTCGGTCATATTGGCAAAGTCCGGCAAGTTATCCTCGGGAGTTTCAGTGGACAACGCCAGGGCCCGTTGGAGCATTGCCTCCTCAGTGTTGGCCTCGTTGCTCACTGCGGCATTTTCTATATTGCCCTGACCGGAGCCGCCACCAACATCACCGCTAGTAGGTGCCGTGTTGTCGGTATTAGCACGACGTTGCTCGCTCTCCTGGCGCTGGCGCTGCTCCTCCATAGAGACGCGCAAGGCAAGAGCAAGCTCGGGATCCTCATTAGGATCCACTCCAAATTCAAAGACATTGCCACCCAGGCCAGCACCACCCATTCCATCTTCGCCTTGGATAATGGGCGACGAAAGCAGGGCATCCGACAGAGCGGAGCCTCGGGGAACACTAACCAAGTGGGATCCGGTGCCATCCTTCCCGTTGAGGGCGTTGATGAAGGCGGTCAGCGTCTCGTTGTTGTTGCCATGATCGCCGAAGCTGACAATATCTACGTTGACCTTCTCTTTCTTAAGACGCTTAGCCTGCTTCACCAAATCCCCTTCCTCGTGATTTATGGGCGACCCCACAAAGACCACGATACGCATCTTGTGATTCTTGCCCTGGCGATGTTTCAGCACTAGGTGGGCAATACGAATGCCGGTTAGGAGGTTAATCTCACCCTTTGGTTGGATAAGATGCATTTTCGAGAAGATCCGTCCCACATCGCTGGTGAGCGTGGCCAGCACTTCCACGGTGCTGGAGGTTAAACAAATCATACCATTATAAGGTTGCATATGGCTGCAGCACACTTACTTGGACAGAGTCATCAGGCCGACGTTGTTCTCGGGATTCGATCGCAACTTGGTAAGGCAGACGAGATTGATGCCATCTTTTTGGACGTTCAGACGGGTGGGGAAGTAGTCTCCATTGCGCTGATAGTCGCTGTTATCAAAGCTGAAAACACACAAATTATAGGTACCGGAATAACCACCATTGCAAGCAATACGCTAAAACTTGCAAATCTCTAACTTATTAGCAAACAAACATAATTTTACCATATCATAGTACTCTCCAGAACCATTTTCGTATTTTTGCTTGTCACTTCTCACAAATTTTTGATGATGGCGTACTTTGTTAACAGAATTTTGCTGAAATAGTGTGACCGGACAAAAATACTAACAAAAGCTTGGGATTTAGAGAATGGAATGGTTAAGAGAATTTTGCGAATGAAAATGTTTATAAGGTTATGGCCGTATGACACTATAATGCAGTTTTCATTAATTAGCTACTTTATTAGAACCTTGAAAGAGACCACTATATGTGTAATTTTGCTCGGATTATTTTGGTAACACGACTACGGTCAAACCGATCGAAAGAGGTAAACAATAAAATCGGCCGCCATTCGCGGCGTATTACTATGAATTTCTGAATTCCTCGTCGAAGTATTCTTGCATAAATAAATGCAGAATCCTTTAAATTTATGTTTTTAACCTATGATGCTTAATTCTTTTTAATTATTACCAAAAAAAAAAATTTAATTAATTTTACACCGCAAGAACCTTGCCACCACAAAACATATTATTTTTCCTAATTTTCTAATATTTTTTCAGTTCAAAAACCTGTGAAATGATATAAAAACAAAATTCTCATTGCGAGGCCACTTTAAGTTTCGCGTTCTAATGATCTGGCTAATACACTTTTCAATTACAATTTTCTTCATTTCATTAAACCCGCATTTTGTTATCGAGTATCTAGTATATTTTAATAATAATTCGGTTATTTAGTTGTAAAGAGAATACCCAGTATATTGGAAAACAACATTGATGTTGTTATCGATAGTCGAGAAATCATAGATTTTTCCACACCTCTAATCCACAGGATGAAAAATTGTGATCATATGTTTTACCCACTCTGAATTCTGCGGGATTTTAAAACTGTACCACATATATATCCAAGTATAATAATAATACAAGTAAAAAAAGCTTCAGTAGTTAAAGTCATGGAAGTGTAAGTCAATCTAAATACTGAAGGTCTTAAATCCCTTTTTCAAAACACATTTTCTGCATTCAATTTTAGTCAAATCTGTCGCGCTTGCCTGGGAACGTCACCTGTAATGATCAACATATTCGACAACGCTCCAGGACTAGGGATCTCCATCGCCGATATGATCACTCAATGCACTCCCTACGAGATTTCTGAAGAAGATTGCTATCCCGAAAACATCTGCGACTCTTGCCTGCACTGTGCTCGAGCCGCCTTCGAGATACGCCAAACCATAGAGACGAGCCACCAGATCTACCTCCAGATGAAAAATACTAAAAATCTACCAGTCAACGTAAATCACGGTGTTGGCTTCAGCGAGAGAAAGAAAAAGCATAAATTCCTTAAGTCGTCTTCCCATAAAAGTATTCTTAATGCACACGTTGGAGAGAAACCGCATAAGTGTTCCCACTGCTCAAAGTCATTTTCCGCGCCAATTTATCTGCAAAGGCACATCCGAATTCACACTGGAGAGCGACCATACAAGTGTTCCCATTGCTCAAAGTCATTTTCCCAGAAAGGTAATTTGACTGCACATAACCGAAGTCACACTGATGAGCGACCATTTAAGTGTTCCCACTGCTCAAAGTCGTTTACCCATAAAAGTACTCTCAACGAGCACATCCGAACTCACACTGGAGAGCGACCATACAAGTGTTCCCACTGCTCAAAGTCATTTTCCCAGAGAAGTACTTTGACTGCACATAACCGAAATCACACTGGAGAGCGACCATTCAAGTGTTCCCACTGCTCAAAGTCATTTTCCCAGAGAGGTACTCTTAATGTACATATCCGTAGTCACACTAAAGAGCGACCATACAAGTGTTCTCACTGTTCAAAGTCGTTTTCCCATAAAAGCTATTTTAATGTACATATGCGAACTCACACTGCAGAGCGACTGTACAAGTGTTACCACTGCTCAAAGACGTTTTCCCAGAGAAGTAATCTCAATACACACATCAGGAATTGTATTGTAGAAAAAACATACAAGTGTTCTCACTGCTCAAAATCGTTTCTCGGGCAACTTAATCTGCAGAGACACATCCGAACTCACACGGGTGAGAGGCCGCATAAGTGTTCCCACTGCTCAAAGTCATTTTCCGCGCCAATTCATCTGCAAAGGCACATCCGATTTCACACTGGAGAGCGACCATACAAGTGTTCCCATTGCTCAAAATCATTTTCCCAGAGAAGTAATTTGACTGCACATAACCGAATTCACACTGGAGAGCGACCATTCAAGTGTTCCCACTGCTCAAAGTCGTTTACCCAGAGAAGTGGTTTGATTGAACATAACCGAAATCACACTGGAGAGCGACCATTCAAGTGTTCCCACTGCTCAAAGTCGTTTACCCATAAAACTACTCTTAACGCACACATCCGAACTCACACTGGAGAGCGACCATACAAGTGTTCCCATTGCTCAAAGTCATTTTCCCAGAAAAGTAGTTTTACTGCACATAACCGAAATCACACTGGAGAGCGACCATTCAAGTGTTCCCACTGCTCAAAGTCATTTTCCCAGAGAGGTACTCTTAATGTACATATCCGTAGTCATACTAAAGAGCGACCATACAAGTGTTCCCACTGTTCAAAGTCATTTTCCCAGAAAAGTAATTTGACTGCACATAACCGAAATCACACTGGAGAGCGACCATTCAAGTGTTCCCACTGCTCAAAGTCGTTTACCCATAAAACTACTCTTAACGCACACATCCGAACTCACACTGGAGAGCGACCATACAAGTGTTCCCACTGCTCAAAGTCATTTTCCCATAAAAATACTCTTAATTTTCATATTCGAACTCACATTCAATAGTTTGACTATTTTTTTTCTCTGAAAAGGACCAATCAAAATTTTTTTCTTTCTTTATAAATAACTGGATTGTTAACTAACATAAATGATACCTGCACATTAGCTTGCACAAATAAATAAATTTACTTGAATTAAAAGTTTGTTTTTATTCTGACGAAAATAGTATAATACTTTGGTATGGCAAAGCGACATCAGTCCGCGCGACATATCTCCGCTCGAAAAATGTACCGGGCGGATATATGTCGTCGGACTTATGTCGCTATGCCCTTTGGTATGCTTTGCTTGCCCTACTCCATTGAGCCCCTTTAAGCTCGACACGAAACACTCTCCCAGCTATAATATTTTTTTATATGCATAGATATTTGTAAATTCACAGATTGTAAATATTCGATCAATACAGACGCAAATATTTATTGTTTTCCCTTTCTTATATATACATATATATATATATATATTTTTTTTTTTTTTTTTTTGAAAAAGTTTACTACTTTCGTTTCGAATACACGTAGAAACTGGAGAAAACACAAAGGCTGAATACTGATTATTATGCATGAATTTTCGTGGGTAATACTATGATGATACTATCGCATTAATTATGGGCCTATAACAGTATAATTTATTTCCTTTTCATTTATTTTATTTTTAATTTATTAGCTACTTCACTAGAACCTTGAAAGAGACAACTATATGTGTAATTTTGCTTGGATTATTGTGGTAACACGACTACGGTCACACCGATCGAAAGAGGTAAACAATAAAATCGGCCGCCATTCGCGGCGTATTACTATGAATTTCTGAATTCCTCGTCGAAGTATTCTTGCATAAATAAATGCAGAATCCTTTAAATTTATGTTTTTAACCTATGATGCTTAATTCTTTTTAATTATTACCAAAAAAAAAATTTTAATTAATTTTACACCGCAAGAACCTTGCCACCGCAAAACATATTATTTTTCCTAATTTTCTAATATTTTTTCAGTTCAAAAACCTGTGAAATGATATAAAAATAAAATTCTCACTGCGAGACCACTTTAAGTTTCGCGCTCTAATGATCTGGCTAATACACTTTTCAATTACAATTTTCTTCATATCATTAAACCCGCATTTTGTTATCGAGTATCTAGTATATATTATGTAGATCTCTCGATTTTCGCGGCAATGAAGTAGCTAATGCATTCGAAATTTTGAAATTATTCTAATGCATTAGAGCGCCATATAGTCGTCTTGCTCGCTTTTGTGTAAAACGCTATAGCGCTGTCAAATCTTTAATGAAGTCTCTAATTAATGCGCCAGTGTCATACGGCTATAATTAATAAACACTGCATTAGAGTGTCATACGGCCATAACTGGCACTTTGCCAGTGGACTGTAAATTTGTCAGAGCTGCAGATAGTTTTCATTTCTATCGGACGAAAACTCGGTATGAATATTATATTTTCGCATTGCGTTGTATGGTATTTTTAAGGAACTAATTTTATAAATATTAAGTCAATCTTTTAAAGATATTCAAACGATCAGAGGCATTGTAATACTCAGTAATTGTGCTTTTGGACTCTTGGGTATGGTAAATTGGGTTTACATTATCCGATTCTGTACTCAAGCCAAGTACAAGTACAAAGGCTGGTATTAATAGTAGATACATTTTCTGAAAGCCGCAAAACTCCCCATAAAAAAATCCTTTCTGACTTTTCGCTTTCACATAATAAGATAAAAGTTGCGATCGAAAAAGCTAAAAGCATTGGCAGATCAATAAACTAAAAATCAGTGATTTTAAAGCGAAATAAATGAATTCATATCAATATGAATAGAAAATGTAAGGAAAAAAATACTTTATAAGTGCAGTTAAAACGAAGCCGGTGATTTAGGTATTTTAAATTGATATTAATTTTACATAATAAAGTTATGTTTATATAAAACAGTTTGCCATTGTATCAGTATGACCCTTTTTCGCCATTTCTCTAAACTATTTGGTAACACTGCTTCACGACTTTGGGGTCATTTTGAGTACTATCCATTTTTTTTTTTTATATATTTTCGCCGGAAACGTTCAATGCCATTTGAACTTTACCTGGCGTTTAAAAGGTTTGATAAAATATGGTACATATTCCTATGGACCTAGACTATTTACAGATATTTACAAACTTTTTACATATTTACAAAGATTAACGAACAACACGGGAAGACAAATCGCCGGGGTGGAATCTCTTGAGCCTTCTAAGAGATTGCGAGTCAAGTACTATTTATATATATTTGGGAAATTTCTAAAAGACTAAGCATTCTAATAGACTAAGCATAATGGACTATATTCACATGATTTTATACCTCTTAGTGACTTTACTTGCCGCTGAGATGCAATTAACGGGTCAGATGATGCAGCCAACATGCTGAATCTGTTTGCAGTTATAGGCATAGCGCAGTCGGTGGCCGGCTTCAGCTTTTATAGACTACTTTAGGCAATAAAAGGAGAAAAAATGAAACAAACATTTTATAAATTTAAATATCATTTAAAGCAAAATTCATGACCATTGGTTTAATGGATTACGTGTAATATTACCTGAAAGAAGACCAATTTACCCATTTTTTGTGTGATGCAAAAAACGTTTTTGCGAACATGACTTTCTATTTTGCAACGCTCTTTGTAAAAGAGGCAAAACTGTGCGATGGTTAATCTACAGGTTTTCGTTGCTTCTATTTTAATGGAAAGAATTCTTTATTTTAATCGATTTATTTATAAGTCTTAGTCTTATTATCATACATCATACATACATATGGTAAACTTGGGCTTTGGTTTTGCAATCGTGTCAAAGCCGACATTTTTGATCTTTAATTTTTTTTTATTTAAAAATAAAATTAATGTCAGAGGAATAGTAATGAATTGTGGCTTAAATGTTGATTACAAATTTCGTAATACAAAGCCCAGATTTGGTTGATAAATTTGTCAATAATGGCAGCCTATGACATGACAATTTTAATGTCATCACTAATTTGTATGAAAATTCATCAATCATTCAATGCCGAAGTTTCTTTGATACAATTTTGATGAATTACTGGTGATTGGTACTCTAGAGAAGCAAAGTTGAACATTTCTATGGTGTCAGGGTTTGGTGGGGTTCGTAAGAAGAATTTTCTGTAATCGTCTTTGAATAAAATATATAAACATATAAATATATAAACAAAAACAATATAAGTTTGGATATTTTTTTTAGTATATATAGCCACGAGAAGGAACATACGCCAAACTTCCTTTCAAGTACATTTTATTCTTACAAAGAAAGATTCGTTGTAGCGATTTTTAGGAGATGCGGGTTAAAGACATTTAAAACATTAAATAAAGTAACATTGATAAAATAAGAACACTTATGTATATTATTTCGGCTATGAAGATTACGCTAAATCCAATCATTAAGCTCATTATTCCTCCTGTGAGAGCTTGAAAATATAAAATCTTATCAGTATTTTAAACAATTATTTTCAGAAAATATCATACCCATATATTCGGTTGGCCCAGTGTACGAAGTCCTTACACTGCTTCTAAAATAATTGTCTGTGTGGAAAAAGTTGACTACTGCCAGATTTTGTCGTATGTAATCACTTGACAAATTTTGCAAATAATCGCTTTTGGATTTAATGTATTTTTGACTAAATGGGGTGGTAAAAGCATCAGGAAAGAAAATCAGATCATGACAGCTGGTCAGGCAGAGCTCTTTGCAGTGGGAACCATTGATGTCGAAGATCTCCAGCTCTGCCTTATTTAAACAGTCGAAATGGACCACATCACAAATAGAAGCATTGGGGTAAATTAGTGGTAAATAATACGGAATACAATTGCACAATCTTAAAAAGAACAGAGAGTCGCACTCTGCTTCGCAATTTCGACGAGTGTAATATCTATAAAAGAGTAGTTCCTGCTCGTCGCTAAAGATGCACTGCCTCTTAGTCCTGTCAATATTTCGAATATTGGGTAACGCCTCAGTGCTCCTAGCGATTATGCGGAAGCTAGTTTGATGTCCAATCATTACAGGCAATCCGGATTCCTTTAACCGCGGTTGGTCAATTGGATTGTACAGAAGCACCTAATTTATTAATAAATACATATATTAGTTTGTCTGCTGCATTTCCAATGATAACTGATAAAACCTTAAATCCCTGTCCGTTTGTGGAGGAGCAAAAGTAATCGTCGACGTGTCCATTTAAAATAATTTGTAGACCCATAGCCGTTCCAACGCCAACTCCTGGGCGGGGATAATAGCTCGATGGTAATCTTTTAGGATATCCTGAAATGGGATCCCAATCGACGGCAATATCGGCAAACCTATTCGAAGATGTGTAGTCCCGAATGTAAGGTGACCTTAAATATATATAATTTATTTTTATTAACTTTTAAACTTCTCATGCAGTTGAAATAATACTGTTGGTTAAAGTTAGACAACAATGGAATTAAACTCTATGTATAAGGCGTTGTAAAATTTTAAATTAAATATTTTTGTGACGGCTTTATACAAGACATTTGGTCGATCCCGCCGAGTATGGTATTGATTCTGATAGGTATTGATTTTGACATACTTATATATACTGTAGATTTACAATACCTAAAAAAGTGTTATTTTTTTAACTAACCGAAATTTGTACAAGTAATAAGGATGCAAAAAATTAAATATACAACACAGTCCCTCATCGACGAATATTTCTCTGAAGATATCGGAGCAGGGTATTTTTTCTTGGTGAAATGTACACGATACTATTAAATCCTGGCACTTCTGCGAAATATTTTTTATGAAACTGGGAAAGGTTTCATTCGAACTCTGAACCTCCGTATACTGTGAGTAATTACTGTCCTTATAACAAGTCTTTTGTAACATGGCGTATCCAAGCGATCCCCTTAAAAAGAGGATTATTTTAGAAGTGTACAGATTAGTATAATTTAGTATAATATAAGTATATCTGAATACTTACGGCATCAAATGCTCTACTTTTGACTTTTTTGCCTGGTTCATATTACAAACCGTTATAGCCGGAAAGGGAATTTGGTCTATAGGAGTCATGGTAGGACTTACTGCAAAAATAAAATTAATTAAGCGTTACTAAACATGTTTTCTTTTTTATTATTTATATTTTGGGTAGAATTATCAGTGAAGAGCTATCAAAAGTAAACAATTAAGCAAAAAAAAAAAAAAAAAAAAAAAAAAAAAAACATTTAGAAAGTAAATACAATTAAAACATAAAAAACTAACTAACAACCCCAAGTGTAAACTTTAATTGAGCTTAAACTAACTAAATATGAACTTGTCACTCTGTATTACTTAAGGCTAAGTTGCCTAAGTATTAAAACCCAATTTGGTAATAAAATGAAATAACTTGTGAAAGTTGACAATGAATCACAGCTCAGTCAAAGAACTTTTCCCTCTAATTTTCTTTTAAACTGCCCTAGTCACGATCGTTAAATTTGTATGAGAATCTAGGAAAATGAGCAAAGTTTGGACATTTTTAATAGATAAATATATACATCCGGAAAAATTAAAACATTTTATGAACTTTAAAAAGCAACGTACTTCCAATAATTACTGGGGTGTCCTCCCATTTATCGTAAATTCCGACTGCCAAGTTTATGGACACGAATACCACCGCAGCCGAAATGAGTATAAAATAAATTTTGATCCACCATGAGAAATTATTGTCACCAATAATATATTTAAGTACTTCCATCGATGTATTCCGAAGAAATCTTTTCTCTGCTTTTTGACGAATGTTCAATATTTGCACATAAATATTTTTTAACACACTCATCGTTTTTTTTTTAATCATACGCGACTGTCTTTTTAGACGGCTTAATGAATAATGTGGAACACAAGGTTTCGTCTAATTGCTTTACGCACTTAGAGAACTCCATTTAATTACACCGGTAACAAAATTATTCATTATCTATTTGAAAATGTCCACTGGTGTACTAATTATTGCAGCGCCATTAGTGAAACCAATTAACCATGTCGCGCACGTCGCCCACGTGGATTAAAATAAAATGATTGGTAAAAATAAAACAAATTGAAGATGTGAAAAAAGAAGTTGTTTTGGCTGATTTTTCCAAATTCACATATGGCAGGCAGCATTATCTAAAAATAGTTCCATTACAGTACAATTTAGAATAATAATAGAACTAAGCCCAGTACTAAATTCTTGAAAATTGGGTTGCAAAATTGTTTGAGCGAAATTTGTAACTTTTTAAAAGTTGTAAATTAAAACCTAGTACTCCCTTGACGACTGAAAATATCGACTTACTGAAAATATTGGCGATATATCGCGTTACTTTGCTGATAACGTTGGCCTTGTCAAGGCCTTTTATTAACTTCAAATTTACATCCTAGCTAATTTTATTTAATTTTGCCTTCACATGTTTTGACCACAAAATTTTGATCTTTCAAAACAAGCAAACAACCAGCAAGTTGTCGTTCTTCTTCTTTTCGTTCTCATTAAAAAAATCGTTAATGAAATTATTTTGTTGCCTTTGATGTCGATTTTCCTAATCAATTTAAAAATATTTCATTTAGAAATCCGATTTTAGTTAAGTACGTTACGAACACAGTTTTAAAGCCAGAAAAAAATAGTCAAGAACGATTATTCGTCGGCGGTCGTATTAGAGAAAAAAATACTAGATAAGAGTGGAATGGAAAACATTTTTTGAGACGCGCATACACTGTCCAAGAAAGAGATAGAGACCAATTGAATTCCAAAACGAAGCATCAAGAGGTTTGTTTTTTAAATAGAGCCGATTGTCAACCCGTTCTCAAAAAACCCAATGAACTAGTTTTTAGAGCAATCACACTTCAAAATAAAAAATCACACCGTACCTTACTTTATCGATAACATGCCAACTTTTATTGATTTTAACGGTTTGTTATGTATGTGATTTTCTTTGTCGCTCACTTTGGTCACACTATACAAGCGAAAAAAAAGATTGTGAATGTGAGTGCATAAAACGACAAAGCCAACAATTTGTAAGTGGTTTGGGGTTAAAAAGCTTAGGCATTAAGTAATTGTAATTGTCAGTAAGCCATTGAATAAGGACTAAATTAATAAATTGGTAGCGCTTGATGGGGCTCTCTTAGTACCCAAGAACTTTAATCCTTACATCGCCTATAACAGTGTACATATCTACATACATATCTACTGACTTTTGCATATTTAGCTAAGATGCTAAGAAAAAAAACGTAGTGCAAGAACCATTTTTTATATGCATTCGATGCGTGTTTTCTTCAGTAATTTGCATAGCACACACTGTGGTTATGTTTGTACACCAGTGCCTATGTACGCAGTTGTTGTGTCTGTAGGTACATTGTATGTATGTTTGTACATAACGCAGTCTGAGGGTAAGTACGCACAAGTGTACTTACATACAAACATAAATGCAGGAGGAAAAATTAATGCAAACTTTCGGAGGAGAATGAAGACCAGAGCTATTGAAAAACGGTTGCTTTTATTTTTAGGTCATCGTTGAGAGTTGTCAGATTTGTAAAATCAAACCCTTTTGCAATTGTATAGCAAAATGAGTGCCGTCGCAAGCAGCGATCCAGCCATCAGCGGCATGGCCCTTGGCCGGAGTCAGACCATTTGCCGCTACTACGTGCGGGGCATTTGTCGGTTCGGGGAGCTTTGCCGCTTCTCCCACGACCTCACTCGCGGCCGTCCGGAATGCGAGGAGCAGCGTGCCGAGGTTGTCCCAGCAGAGAGTCCCCGGCCCAGCACTAGCTGCAGCCATAGCATCAACAGCACCATCAGCCAGCAGCGAAACTGGGTAAACGCACCAGTGTTTGTGCCCAGCCAAAAGCGAATTCCTCCTCCCATGGAACAAAGCGAGGGCTCAGAGGCGGGGGCGAAAACGGAAACCGACATGGAGGCTGCGTCGGGCGTTGTGGAGTGTAACCCCGTCTCCTGGGCCGAAGTTGTTGGCGGGCCATCGTCCCTCAACAACAAACGGGACTTTACTTTGATCAAGCCCGCTTCCTTGGACGAGGTCTGTCCGTACGAAAGCCCATGCGTTTGGGGAGAGCATTGCCCGTACCGTATCCACATGGAGCTTTGCGAAATGTGCGACCAATATTGCCTGCATCCCACGGATCAAGCCCAGCGTAAGAAGCACAACCGCGAATGCCTACAGCAGCACGAGCAGGCGATGGAGCTCTCGTTCGCCATTGCCAGATCCAAGGACAAGACGTGCGGCATATGCTTTGACACGATCATGGAGAAGGCTGGTCGCGAAAAGCGATTCGGAATCCTGCCCAATTGCAACCACATATTCTGCCTGGAGTGCATTCGCACATGGCGTCAGGCCAAACAATTTGAACATAAAATAACGCGGTAAGTGATACGAAATGATCAAAAGCCTTTATTTAATTTTTAAAATGTCATGTTTATGAAGGGGGTTGACCGATTCGACAGCCGTTTTAAATTTTTTTAACGGTTTTTTTTTACATTTTCCTGAGCGCTTAAGGGGGTCTTCTCATTCAAAAGCCGTTTTTTGGACCCTTTTTAAAAAAATTCTTATTTGAAAACGAAACGAATAATTGAAAACTTTTTTTATTTATTGTATTCAAAAATTTTCAAAGTAACTAAAAAGTTGTTCTCGTTCTTTCTTTCTTTCTTACGAGGGTTTTTCAAAGAGTAATGAGACTTCAAAATTGGTGGTCGAAAAAAAGGTGTCGTCCTGGCGGCCACGATTCAGGGTCTCCAGAGCGTCCGAAATGAAAAAAAAACGGGGTTATAATCAGAATAGATGTCATTTTCGGGTGACGGAACAGATTTAAAAAAAAAATTTTTTAAACAAAATGGCGGCCATTAAAAAAAAAAATTTCGCTTTCGGCCTTTTTTTGTAGTTTAGTGTAAAAAAAAAAAAAAAAAATAAATTTTTTTTTAATCTGTTCCGTCACCCGAGAATGGTGACAATTCTGCGTCAATTCCACTTTGTTTCATGAAAATCGGTTCAGTTGAACTGGAAATATCATGGCCGCCAGTTCGAAAAACGTGGTTTCGAGATAAACGCGTTTGAAGTTTGAAAAAAAGCTCATTTTGCGAAGACCTTGCTTCACAAAAAAGGCTGTATCTTCTAAAGTATTTCGAATTTCTAAAAATCCATTTGGGGACATATACACAATATCCCAAGCTATAAATAAATGCAAAAAAAAAAATCGAAAAAAAAAGTTGCCCAATGAGAAGACCCCCTTAAGACTTAGCAATTTGAGTTTTTTTTTTATTAAGTAAAGTGTAATGTATTTTTCGGATTTTTTTTTTAAAGTTGAAATATTGTCAAATTTGCGAAATATTGGGGTGCCAAAGTACTACACTGAAAAAAAAATCTAGTGTCATGGTCAACAAGGTTCTGGCGAACGTGGTTAACAGATGTTAAATACCATTATGATCTGGATGAATACAGATATCGCTAAAACTAGGATATTTTATAAATATCTTGTTTTTGTCTATTTTGCTGTGTAAAAAAACAAATCTACTTATCAAACGATCCTAGTTCATACGATGTTTGCATGTATGCTGAACATATTCTATACATTTCACGGCAATCGGTTAAGTTGGTTTTCAAGAAATCGTGTGGAACAATGGGAAAAAACGTGGTTTCGAGAAAAGCGCTAGGGAAATAATCATTGCAGGAGTAAGCTGCTCTGAAGAGCATTTCTTCTTAGTGAGGTAACTTTGTAACGAAATCGAATAAAGAAAAATACTTTTAAACACACCATTTTTGAACCCGTCATATGAATCAAACCTTAAAAGTAGATATAGTAAATAAACAAAATAATTATTTATATTATTCAATTTTTCCTTATATTCTTAAAAAAAATTACGTATAAATGATAATATCTATTAATTCATTTTTAATGGCTATGTAGTAACTGCAAGGGTATAGAAACTCAATTTTACCGAAGAAGTTTCATTTTAATCGTTTGGTAAATTTGTCATTTTGTAGAGCCTGTCCCGAATGCCGCGTGTGCTCGGACTTTGTCTGTCCCAGTGCATTTTGGGTGGAGACCAAGGAGGAGAAGGACAAACTGCTCAATGATTATCGCGTCGCCTTAGGAGCTAAGGACTGCAAATACTTCAAAAAAGGCGAGGGCAAGTGTCCCTTTGGTAACAAATGTTTCTATAAGCATGCTCTTCCCAATGGAGATATTGTCGATGTGGGATTGCCGAAGCGTACTCGAAAGCTACAGAGCCAGAATGAAATAATGGACCTACTTGATGTGAGTACTATATATATCATCAGTTTCATAAATATATTTGTTATTTATTTCGTTAAAAAAATCGTTTTAAAATATACTTTTTCAATATTAAATTAGCAGAGTTCTGAATGCAATATATAGAGGAGTTAATATCCTTGAAGAAAACCCCAGAATTTTATTATTGCTGTTATACATTTTCTAGATTTATCTGTGGGACTACGTTGACAGGCGGGATTATCATTGGCTGGAGATATTTTCAAGTGATTTAAGCGAAAGTTCCGATTTCTCCGATGAAGACTAAGCTTCTGGAGCAAAATGATAAACAAAGAATCAACCACATCCCGAAAAGCACACACAAAAATTTGGATATACTGTCGCAGCGAAACGTAATCAATATTCAAACGATATATATAAATGATACTGAACCAAATATCGAAAGCGAAATTAAACAAAAAGAAGATGTATTTGGGTACCAAATTTAGGTTTACATAAATATTTATTCTCCACTTAATGCAACGAAATTTACAGCAACTTTTCCGTACTTGTATTAAATTAAATTATATTTAATACCATTAGCAAGTGGTTAAACTTAAAGACCTAAAGGAACGTTGATATATCATTAAATTTGATTACACAACTTTAGAGATAAACAAGCAGGAAGCAAACAGTACATTTTCAAAATAGGTGATATAAAACGTGTAAACTATGCCTTTCAGACTGAATTGTAAAGATAAAATACATTCTTAAATCGGTTTTCTACTCATTTTGATCTTTAACCAACTACCAACTACAACTAAGCAAACGCACACTGCAAACGACATGTGTACGGGTGCACGTCTATTTGTACGATTGCGGAGAGATAGACATAGAGACATTAAATCTTGAAACTGTTCCCATTCGCCGATAAATGAAATTTTTGTTATTGTTATGAGCCCAGCCCCTATGTTAGAGTATTCCTATTGCCTACCTACATATATGTAATTCAGTATATTTGTAATCGTTGGCCACGCGCATAATGCCAAATGCCTTGCACACAAACCACAAATCTATATGTATGTATATCCTCTAATGTATGTATATGGTTTTTAAGTTTATATTTTCGAAATGTACCTCTTTAAAATGTTTTCGTTTTTACTGATACAGAAACACTGTGTTGTCCATTAGGAAATCAACAATTTAATAAACTAAGGGAACTAACATATGTAAACCCAACATGTTCAAAATTAAAAGCCTAAAATCAATGAAGAAACTTCAATTAAATGAAATGAAAATCTCAATAATTGCATAGAATCGGGTACGCCGCCGGTCTCTGGAACCCATTTGTATGTGATTCATAGTTGACAAACGAAAAAAAAACAGATATCTTATGAGTAATTGGTATTAAGTATATATAGTTTTAAAAATCAAACAAATGGTCGTTGAAATATGATATAGATTGTACAATTCAGCTTAACAGCTCAACAAATACATGCTATGGCAACGCCTTTGTTCCCATCTCTCTCTTTGTTAGTATCACAAAAACGCACTCTGTTCACATAATGTTCGTAAAAAATGGCTCAAATAGCCAGATTGCTTAAACAGTATGAGGGTGCGTAGTTTAGTTAATTAATCATTTGTATTTTTGTGTTGTGAAATTATGAGTTTGTCCGATATTAACTCCCGAGTAAAACCATCCAGAAGTGATATTTTTCTATAATTTTTGAACTGGATTTAAAAACAAAATTGTTCAACGGAAAAAACTCGTAAATCAAAACATCTTTCCAAGTTACTAATTAATACTTGTAAAAAGATACAATATTCAGGTTCGTTGAAAAATTGAATATCTTTTAAAGCGGATTTATACCAAGAGCCTTGAATCGAATACTAATTGTGCCATTTCCCATTTTTAAAATTGTTCAAAACAAAAAAAAATAACCAATCTGGCTGAAGTTGTACCTAGATTAGATTAAAAATACAATTTGTAACTTTATGTTGATAATAAAAGCAGGAATGAAATAAATGAATAAAAAACCTAACCTAACTGGAATATGCCCTTATTATTTAATAAATAATCTGTTATGGAATTAAACTAAAGTTAAGTAATCACATTCAATTGCCAGCCTAGATCCTTAAATAATCTTCAAGCTTAAGTTATTTACAGGCGCAACGGTTTTTATTAGCTGACGGACGGACGACTGCTGAGCAAAAACGAAACCAATCAGCAGCCGGCTCTGTTTTTGTCCCGGAAGAAAAGGCTTCGTTTATGAAGGCTCTTGCGAACTTGCGAAGGCTCCAGCGGATTCTCTGGTAAGACTCATTAAATTTTTAACTTACTTGTGTGCCGGTAGTTGTGACGCTTTCAGAAAGTGGCTGATCTCTTTGAAATCTATAGAGTATGTTCAACACATACAAATTATACAATAGTTTCGTCTGGGCCAAATCGTTCGGGTTTAGGTCTCGTTTTGACAGCTTGGCTTATTCATTGAGTCATTGCCTCTGCAATTTTTCTCGCAAAAACGTTAGTACAAGTTTGATAAGAACACCTAAATATGAATTTCGAAGAAAGATGTGGGAGCGAATTCTAAAATGCAGACTTGAAGGAAATACGACTAACAAGAATTTTTCTTTAAGACTAGAATACATTTCAGAATTAAGAATTTAAACAAAAGACTAGACATACAGAAACAAAAACAACGCATAATGTGAAACACAAAATGATTACGTTTGCCGATGAGCAGCCGAAATATAATAGAAAAACCAAAATAAAACTGACGAGCCGGATCAACAACTTTAAGAAATGGAACATTTTAAGCCCCATGTACAATCTCATAAACACATGCTATTGTCATTTCACCCTAATTTTCAGGCTATACCCGTATCACTCACAGTTTGATAAGCCGAACTAGGGCTTATTTTTCCGACAGTACTATCTTGTATAATTGTATCATACTTTATATTACTATTATGACTGTTATTGACTAATCTCAAAAACTACTTGGTCGATTTCAAAAAGTCATTAACCATTAGAATGCTATGTACATGAGTGCAATAGACTATATTTATTGCTGGAAAAAAATATTAAAACATAAATAATTTAGTCAAACGTCTTAGCACGTCAAGTTAATCTTAAGCGAGATTAGTAATAATACGACGTAATGGAGGATCATCTTATGATAATTCAGATCGTCTCGTAAATCTAAGAATAAACCAATGTCCGGAATATACTTGCCGAATGTTTTTGATGCGCTAAACTAAAATCCAACTAAAAAAATTTTAGTTTTTAAAAATATTGTTATTTAGGTCAAACGATAATTCAAATAACTAAAAAATTAAATAATGAAAAGTAATGTAAAGTTGCATTATATTGAATTGAATATAAAAAATTGCAATAAATCATAGTAGTTGAAAATAAGTTAGCATCTGCGAAGATGTTGCAGCGATTCTATTGCAGCTATTAGTTTTGATCGTCTGATTTTCATGAAATGGAAATGGAAATAGGACTATTTGTGAAATTTCATTTAAAACAGATCGACTTGCTGATGCTGGTTAAGAAAATATATACTATATAGTAGTTCGGAAATGTCCTTAAATGGGTTGCAAACTTCATACTAAAATAATAATGCCCTTTAGTGATATAATGGGTAATAAAAAAAAGAGTTATGAGTAAAATAACAGTTACTACCAAAAAATTTAGCTGTAAAGATGAACAATTTAGGTATACCGCCCAGTGAAAAGTTATTACAATTCAACTTTTATTTTCACTTTTTAAAATAAAAATTGACAAAAACTGTTAATTTCATTTTTTTAAAGTTGAAATTGGAGATTAATTTTATTTTCAATTGTTATTTAAATTATTTTTATAAAAGTTGATAAATAAGAATTACAGTTAATATTTTGTATTCAATTAAAAAATAACTCCTATTTTATGAGTTTTATTGTAAAACTGTTACGCTCCCCCTGGAATTTCTTCAAATACGTATTAGTGGGAATACCCCAACTCTTTTAGAACTCTAGGACCTATTTCCTGAAATGTAAACATTTTTCAGCTTTCGGTATACGGTTACACTAAACAGCTGATTATGCTTGTTTATTTATTTGAAGAAGCCGATATTAAAAGTACTTTGATAAGATGACCGAAAAAAGGCGGTTTGTATGCATTAATTGTGGCCATGCTGTCAAGGAACTATTCAAAAAATACAGCAACACCCTAAAAACAACACATTGTGTAAGAAGACAAACCAAACATACATACAAATTATAATTATTTTGGTTTTTCAAATTCTACAGGAGAAATGCCATCAGATCACGGATAAGTACATTGAATTCGAGGAATTTATTATATTAATAGACGCCCTTTTGTTGGATTCTTTTGCCTTTCGTCACATCATATATAATGGGGAATTTAAGGTAAGATGTCTAGTCCGCACACATCTTAAATATCGGAATTTAAAAATTCGCATTTGTACGAAATTAGATATACTGGAAAGTTTCGTTGGTGGTGCTTCTATTGGAATCCTTTGCACTGTGCCGACAAAACCTTACCGATCCGTCACAAGCCGACTTGCATATCCACGAGAAGGGTTTCTATACATACACGCTTCAAAATATAGGAGGTGAGACCTTCAGAGCTCCTGAATAGCGAAACCCTTAAAAAAATCATTTACTTGCTTATGTTTTACAGACTATTTGCTCATGACTTTACTGCTGCTAATGATCACAGCCACCCTCAGTATTGAATGGATGAAGAGAATGGGCGTTCGTAACTTTACGTTGATTATTTTTAAAGTCGTTTTGATTTCCAACCTCTCAAAGTTCTTTCTTCTGCCAATACTCGTATGGCGGAGCAATACAACAGTATTTGGAAGGAGTTTGCACCACCTCCTGGTCATGGGTCACCATCTTTGTTCACTGGTCCTCGCCTACGAGGCTGTTGGAGCAACTAGGAAGGTTTTCCGTTGGTGGGCCTTCACATTGGTAGTGCTTGCCTTTGTTTTAAAGGAGACCACGCGTCATTTTGTCGCTCTCCTGCTGGAAGATAATTTTACGTGAAAGCTAAAATTTTAAAGTACTTGAGTACTTGAGTACCCCATTATGTCAACTGCCAAATAAAGAATAATAATCGGTTAATCTATGATTTATCAACAACGTTTTAAAGATTATGTTAAAATCGTTATAAATAACAATATTTAAGGGGGGATAGTACCTATTTCACAATAAGAAATCCTAGTCCGAAATTAAAGTTGACCAAAAAAGAATGGATTTTATCTTTAAATATATATATTATAACTAATTATTAGATTTGAGTAAAAAAAATGTATATATATATATTATACAAATAAAAAAATAAAATCAATAATAAGTATTATCGATGACTTTTGTCGCAAGTGACACGTCGCATACCGCAGCATACTTTTCATTTTGTTTTTTACTTAGTAAGTGAACTTGAAGAGTATATGTATTTGCGTTTTCTTTAGACTTATTGCATTCTCAGAGTCATGTTAGAAACAAAAGTCAAAGAATAATCAGGCATGCTCCGGTTTCCTCTTCTTTTTCATTCAACTTTATCGTTTCCAAACCAAAAGAATCTTATAATTCTGAAAACGGTAGATTCTTTTGAAAGTGAAAACCGGAGCAAGCCTGAATACCTTTTGATTTAGTAGTTGTTATCAAAACAAAGCATGCCCCTTTTTGTGCTGTTTTTTATCAAGTTAATAAAAAAATATTTAGAAATCTATTTGAGAACATGGTAAATTCTTTTTAGTTGGATCAATTGGAACACTTCTTAATTTGACTTTTTTGAAAACAAAGATTTTAGAGTACTTTGATTTTTTTTTTTTTTTTTTTGGCGGTTGACATTTCTGTAGAAATGCCCATATCATATTAACAGTCTTACATTTATAGCTTTACATTTTTCTCTACATCTACAGATCGTTCCTATGGTAACTACATGACAAAATTTGGGGAAAAAAATTAGACAAAATTTGGGGGAAAAAATTTGACAACACATGGGAAAAAAAATAGACAAAATTAAAAAAAAAAAATAGGCAAAATTAAAAAAAAAAATGACAAACAAAAATTTGGGCAAATTTGAAAAAAATATATATTTGGGAAAAAAAAATTTATAAAACAAAATGACAAAATTTGGTTAAAACAAAATTAAGAAATTAACAAAATTTTGGAAAAAAAATTAACAAATTTTTGAAAAATAAAAATGTACATTAAAAAAAATTTCAAAATTTTTCCTCGGTCGAATATTTCCAGCTGAGCTGTTCTCAAAATGTCCCAGCAAGTCTTACGGGTTTTTTAAAACCAAGACCACCTTATGGTTCTTATCAGAATATTAACAAGATAAAAACAAAAGCCACCCAAAATTTGCCAAGTTAATGAATCTCCTCATTATATAGTTTAATAAGTCAAGTTAAATGTCAATTTATATTTATTATTAATTTATTTAAGCCCAGACAAAATCCAGAGAAAAACGTCGACTGTTAAAAACATATATAGAACTAATTTTTATTGTGTTTGTTGGTTATGAAATACGTCAAATAGCGTTACATACTAAACTTTTGAAACTGTATAGAACGAATCAAATGGCAATGAATTTAAAACCAAGCAAGGTCGCCGATCGATCCACCTTCTTTAAATTAAAAGCTCGGGAATAGTCAATAATATATGTGGGCCAAGGAAACGTTAATTAGCGCGTTGCTATCAGTACACACAAAAAGATACATATCTGAGAACGAATCGGTTTCCTGTTATAGCATAGGGCGTTGTAGATATGATGTTATGCCTCTCCTCTCGTATGAATGTACTTAAGTAATTAATGCTAATCGTAAGTCATGCTGCTCATACATATTATTGTAATGGCAGTTTGTAGCAACGACGACACCGACGCGCAAACAGCCCTTACGTATACCGAATTGGGGGCAGGGCGGGCGCACTATATAACTAAATCAGCATCCAATATCTATCCGTCTCGCACATACATCAATTAGCTACGGCTTACGATCTTCTTAAGTCATATTCCACGAGGACGAAGACGAACTAGAAGAGCTATCGTCGCTCTCAGTCGTTGCGTTGCTGCCGTTGGGCTTGGGCCCCCAAATTCTGACAGTAGCGTCGTCGCTGGCGCTGGCCAGGAGGGACGGGTACACAGGGTTCCATGACACACAGTTGACCGTTTTGGTGTGACCGGCCAGTTTCGCCAGTGGTTCCTCGCGCTTAATGTGCCAGATGTAGACCACCTTATCCTCGCTACCGCTGGCCACAAAGCTCTCGTTGACGCCGCCAAAGCAGGAGTGGATAGCAAAGTTGCTTTGCCGGATACCCTGAAAACGACGTACCAAGCACTTGTCCTCTATGTCCCAAAGATGAAGCCCTTGGTTCGAAACGTTCAGCAGCGCCAAACGGTCGGCGGAGTTTATGCTGAATGTCATGATGGGATGTGGCTCCCTCAGAATATCAAAGTCTGAGCGCGGACTGTCGAAGTTGTACCTAAACCAAAATAAAAGCAATCGTTATTATCGTCCATCTCAGTTTGAAGTTTAAAATCTTTCTACGTTGTTCCTATGCAAATCTAATGAAATTGACAGTCTAGCTCACCCTCTGATACGGTAGTGATTATCTGCCGCTAAGATCGTCTTGTTGTCAGCTCGAAAGGCTATGCTGTTGACGCGAACGCCCTCCCAGGAGTCCACAATAGTGCCGTTCAGGTCGCAGAGGTAGAGCTGACCCTTCTGGCCGCCGCACACGAAGCGAGCGCCATCGCGACTGAAGGCACCGCAGGCCAGGCTGTCCTCCAGCGACTGCGAGAATTTGACAACCAGCTTGCCGTCGTCCACGTTCCAGATGTACAGTTCGTGCGAATCCTCTGTGCCGCCGACGAGAATGAGCTTTGAGTCGGGACTCCAGCTGACGAAGCTAACGCTGAGCTGGGCCTGACCGTCGAGCACGCGCCGGTGCTTAAGCGTTAGCTTGTACGGATCAACGTCCCAGATAATCACAGTAGAGTCCTTGCTGCCCGTGGCCAGCTTGAGGCCGTCGGGTGAGAACTTGCAGAACCATACTTCGTCGCAGTGGTCAGTGAGAATCTGGATGGTTTGCATGGGAAAGCCGTCTGTGGTGCAGCAGTGGTCGGTAAGGAGCGACACCGTCTGCAGATTCGTCTCCCACGCCATGTCGTGGCAGGGGCAGTGCTGGCTCTGCAGCTCAACGGCCTGCTGCAGCAGGGTGCGTAGGCGTCTCGGTGACATCATTACCGACGGCGGCATGAACGTTTGCAGCCGCTCCATGACCAACGCTCTGGACAGGATGCCCTTGCCCTCCCACTTGGCGCGCTGGTATAGGTCCTGGTTGGTGGAACACATCATGTACGAGGAGAGCTGGTGCACCCGCGATATGTTGTGCTGCAGGGGCGTTAGCTCGCTGCGGAGAACATGCAGTGCATCCAAGGGATTGCCATCGTCCAAATGCTCTAAATACTTTTGTTCCAGTAGTATGAACTTCATTTCGGTGATCGTTGACAATTTTCCATTATCTATCAGTGGCTCTAGGTCCTGCAATAATTGGAAATTGTGCATTGAAATGTAATTAGATTGTTTCTCTTTTCTGGTAGGGCTCAAGCCTTGTGTGTAACTTGTAACTTTTCTACTTTTTACACATTTTCACCTAATCTGAGACATGGCCATTTAGTATTATTTAAGAATTTCGTGTTTAATTTATTAAAATCGGACAACTATAAGCATATAGGAACGATCGGTAGATGTAAGGTAAGATTTAAAAATTTGAATGTAAAACTGTTTATATAAATGTAATGAAAGTTGTTATTACTTGGTTTTTGTTCATCATATATAATTATAATTTCTATTATATAAGATACTTAAAAAATATTGGTTTTTTATACGATTTAAAACAATATGTTTTTGAAATTTTATCAAAAACAAATGTTTATATGCTCTCTATAAATGTATATCTTTTGTATATATCTCATGTTAGGTTTTCTTTTAATTTGACCAAAAAGGAATCGATTCTTAATGATCAAATTGCAAGAGTATACAAACTTCGGGAGCCGAAGTTAGCTTCCTTTCTTGTTAAGAAGACAACACAGGTCCACAGCTTTGGAACCAAGAACCGGAATATAGTATATTCAATATTCTCTTCTGAAAGTTTTTGATGCTCTGAACTCAAATCCGGTTTTGGTTTTGGGTACTTTTTAGGGAGCTGTAACTTCGTTACGCTTTATTATTTCTAAACAGTCGGTACGTCATCCTTAAAAACCGTTTTTGCCCATAAAATAAGGAATATTAATCTATCGTTATTTTTTCATATATTTATGAGTGTATCGAATATGACAAATATCAACATAAATTTTAAATCGACATCTTCGATATCCCAAAAAGTCGTAAAGATATTTCCAATTTTGTAAAACTGCTTTTGAAATGAAAGAACAGTACTCCATGATAACGTAACGATCGGATTAAAACTATAGATCGTATAAGATTTAAATCGCATCAAAAGTTGCTAAAAACCGTTTTTGTTGCACTTTTAAAATGAAATGTCTGCCGTATAGGCAATTTTCTAAGACCGAATTTAGGTTCAGTCCCTCCAAAAACCTCCAGAAAAGTATATTCTGGTTCTTCGTTGTGCTTTTTTTTAAATTTTGTTGGCCTGTGGAATATAGCGTTCTTTAAAATTAATTTAATTATATGAGACCATAGATAAATATTCAGTCAGTTGTAGTTTTGAGTACGCAAACCATCGGCACATCACACAGTTTATGAATTACATTTACCTTGAGGTCCGAGTCAGCTTTGGACCAGTCGCCCATTAAGACATGCTCTCGGAACTTGGTGGCAGAAGGGTGCTCCAAATAGCAGCCAGATTCAACCATTAGCGTCTTGACCGACTTGTCGAGGCCAACGTCGTGCAGATACTGACCGATCAGCCGGATGATCTCCTGGTTGGATTTGTCAAGCTGCACGCCGCTGTAGCTAGTGTTCTCGCGATTGTTCTCGCCATCGACGACAATACAGCTGCTACTGCCGTTGTTATTGACGGCAAATCCATTGTGTTTGGCGTCGTGGCCGTTGGTGGCGGCGCTGCTGCCCGAAGGATTCTCATCTCCGATACCGGCGCTGTCATCGCCGCTACCGCTGCCGACGCCCTCGCGGGCCACGTTCTCGACACTGCTGCCTGAGTTCAAAGCGGAGCCTTCTAACGGCCTAGAGCAGGAGCCGCTCGATGTGGAAGTGGTGCTCTGCATGTTCGGTCCAGTACTATTTCTTGCCTCGGAGACGGATGTATTGCTGTTGCTGCTGCTGCTACTACTATGATCCCTTGGCCTCTTATTGGTATCTGTCGATTTCCGGGTTTGCCCTCTGCTGGGATTTCCCGATGTTTCTGCGCTGAAGCCAGTCGCAGTGGAGTTCACTTGGTGCTGTTGCTGTAACTGCTGGGCCGCTCTCGACGTGGATGCTGCCGCATCTACTGATCCAGCGGCAGTGGCGGGGGAAACGGACAAGGATGTGGAGCCTCCTGAGCGACGACCCCTTTTGCGCGGCGGCTGGTCCTCGGAAGAGGCACCAGTTGCAGCTGCCTTTTTGTTGTTTCTATCAATTTTGAGTCCTTTGCGAACCGCACAGCAGCAACAACCAGACTCTGCCCCCGGCGCAGCCTCTCTACAATGTCACTGGTGAGCGCCTCCAACCTGGATCCGATGCCTGAGACGGGCCTAGGCGGCCTTTGTTGTCGATTTCACGAGGGGTATCAGCGTGATTACGGCTCCGTTTCTGGCAGTTGATAGCACTCACTGATTGTAATTCGTTCTACGACCTGCGGAGAAGGTAATGTTATACACATTACATTATATATCAGCAACTTTGTAAAATTGCAGTATATGTACATACACATGTTTATAATCTACGTAAACTTTGGTGGGGTGCACAAAGGGAATACGTAAAGCTTCTGAAATGCATTCTTATCTCACTTTGGTGTTGGTCTCGTTAAACGAATATCTATGCCTTGAGAACCAAATCAATGAAGCCACAGTACTTTGTGAAGGGTATTCGCATTCGGATATTTTACTTTAGATGTAGAATCTACATACATCCCTAGCTGTTCGCTGCACAGTCGCGTACAAAATTATTGGTTATGTATCTTCCCAGCAAACAAACAGTGGACTTAGTGCGGATGGATCCGAAAATGTCCGCTAAAAATATTAAAGACGGACAAAGATTCGGATTTTCCGCTAAATGCTCAAAAACGGACGGGCAAATGGATGAATAGCGGACGAGTATCGCGAATTCTCATGATTATACGCGATAATGATATCGTAAAAGGTCCGCAATCGAAATCTTATTCGGATTCCGAAAATGATAGCCACAAACCCCAGGACAGGTCATTTACTGTCTTATCGTTCTTGAGCCTAAAATCGGACGTTTTGTCTGCCTGAGATCCGTACAACTTCCGTTTTTTATATTTTTTACGAAGTTGTTGTCTACTGGGATTCTTTAAATCATTAATCAGTTGTGAAGATGATACTTATTTTTTAAATTTTATACAATTATAAAAGCACAATAAGTATTAATGAAATGCTTAAAAAGTATGGGGACTTTTCTTGATGTATTTCGTGTTCTTTTCAGCTGTAGATTTTTGGTTCCTCAGTGAAAACTGGTTCACCCACGCACACCACCAACGGAAAATGCACCCCTATATCAGACAATGGAATCGAAAATTGAAAATGTTTCCTTATTTCTAACGAAATAGTTTTGGAAGCCAAAGAGATAATCAATATATGTACATATGTATATGTGCTGAAATGTTAAACCCATTTTTAAATATTGCTGCCAATATACCCCAACGAAAGTGAGTAACCCAATTTTATAACCAACCGAAAAGAACTACGTCTTAAAAGACAGCAACTAAAAATTGCACTTTTTGAAAGTATATGCAGGTTTTAAGGAAATATAAAATGTAATCTGAAACAGCCATACTTCCGCCCCCGACTGTGTGGCTCGTATTAATCAACTTTGCTTTGTTTTCGGTACAAAGAAAACGAAAAATACATCTATTTACATACACGCACACACATTGTTGTTCTCCTTTCTTTCCAAAATGTCTGCACGCCTTCTGCACCCAGGTCTTGTGTCGAGGGTTTTTAAAGTACTTCAAAAACTTGCTAATTTGTGCAGCAACCCAGCTGTCTAAGGTTCGCTAATACACTTCACTTTCCACTCGCATTTCTCTTTTGGCCTCCCAAGTGCATCGTAATAATCATCGTGTAGGTATATAAACATATGTATGTATGCGTGCATTTGCACTTTTCTTGCGCCTGGCCGTGGCTTCTAAAATGGCGCCGTATTCACTTTTCCCTGCTGCTGCTTTGTTCCCGACGACAACGACGCAACGTTGCAACGCCCTTCGCATGTGGCACAGAGGAGCGCGTTGCAGAATCTTAACAACTTCGCGTCGCGGGCAGCACAAAAATGTGTAAAAATAAAGAAAATTTCCAACATGGAAAACCATTTAATCAGCTGTTTTGGGTTAGATTGGCAGGCCTCCTTCGATCAAGAGTCTGGCAGCACTACCCGTTTTGAATAAGTTGGCAGTTCTTTTATTGTGTTTGTTGTGAGACTGCGGAAAAAATTTAATTTTAATTTTAATTTTTATTTCTGCCAAATAAAGCAACAAAATGGGCACCAAACGACCCAATACAAGCGTGGTACTTGCCCAGGAGTCAAAGCGCAGTAAAAGCGACCTGGTGGCCTACACAAATCGGGACAAAGCGCTCCTGGAGTCGGTAAGCGTGGTGGCAAGAAGAAGCATTTTAAGAGTTTCCCCAAGAAAATTGTTTATTTGTACTTTTATTGTTAATTTTAAGGTGTAAGGCGTACTTCCAACCTGCAGGCGCCCATAATGCAGCTAGAGGGACATGAGGGCGAGATCTTTACCACAGAATTCCATCCCGAAGGCGAGTTACTGCTCTCCTCCGGCTTTGATAGGCAAATTTGTGAGTGAAATTTAAGCCAAAAATTGTTTATAGTTTATATTAATTATAAATTTATTCCAGATATCTGGCAGGTTTACGATGACTGCGAGAACGTTATGGCCATGTCGGGACACAGTGGCGCCGTAATGGAGGCTCACTTTACGCCCGATGGCTCGCACATCTTTACCTGCTCCACGGACAAGACCCTAGCTATTTGGGACATTGTCACCGGGCAGCGTCAGAGGCGTTTCAAGGGTCACAGCAACTTTGTGAACAGCGTCCAGGGCTCGCGACGTGGCCAGCAGCTGCTCTGCTCGGCAAGCGATGATCGCACCATCAAGATTTGGGATGCCCGAAAGAAACATGCTGCCCACACACTCGAATCACCGTACCAAGTGACATCCGTGTGCTTTGGCGATACCGGAGAGCAGGTCATAAGCGGTGGCATCGATAACGAAGTCAAGATTTGGGATATACGAAAGCATACTGTACAAGCTGCCCGGACACAATGGCAGCGTCAATGATGTGGATTTTAGTCCAAAGGAGCCGCTTATACTCTCCGGCTCCAGCGATAAGACCTTGTATCTGGGCGAGATTGACGATTGACGACGACTGGCAGATGAGCCCGAGATGCATGCTCTCTTGGACACGCCTTTGGAGAGCAAGTAGAGTTCGGTTTAAGGATTAAATATAACAAAATAAACTATTTTAGCAATAAATCTTGGTTGCTAAATGCTAAAAATTGTGTTATTGAACTACAAAACGTGGCAACTTTACTTTTAATTTATTTCCCAGAAGAAAGAGCTTGCTGATAACAACAATCGAAGGCTAGTAATTGCAAGGCCCATGACTCACAGCGTGAAATAAATATTGAAAGCATTAAAAACATTACATTTTAAATTTGAGAGGCGTTATTATCACAAATAAGTTTTATTTTGGATTGATCAATGGGTTTTTAAATAAGTTACAATTCGTTGCTGCTGCTACGGCTGCCTGCGGTGGTGAATAATGATGCTTTGTTTTATATTTTTTTATTTCCTTTTCAGACGGGCAAAGCACTTGTCGAGGCCGAAACGCTCGTCTTGAAGAGCTGACCAAAGAACTTGAGACCCGTTGCCCCGCCGGGCACCATGCCCAGGATCATAAAGAGCAGGGCTATTATCTGGGCCACTGCAAATAGGACCGTAAAGGCCGTGCTCTTGGCCACCAAAGCGCAGTACAGCGTCAGCAGCAAACAGAAGCTGTAGGAGAGCGAGGTCAATAGCCGCTGCTTGGAGAACATCTGTCGAAGAAAGGCGCCAAAGCCGGAGAGGAAGCAGAAGCTGAGGATGAAGAACAAGCTGCCCAGGGTGTACAGCAGGGCGAACTTTCTCGCTTTCAGGATCAGAACGGGAATGTAGAATGTGGAAAGGGTCATGCACAGCCCGCCCATGCCCAGGCAGGCCACAAAGCCCACGATTCGCTGCAGGCGAGACTGTAAGTAGCGGGGATTTTTTAATTATTATACATTTGAAGCAATAGATTATATATTCGTTAGTTACCAATTTGGGGCAACAGGAATCCTGGGTGTCCTTCAGCCAGCTATTTTGAACCTCCGGCTCTGCGCCCTTGGAGAAAAATCCTAAACTGGGCACTTTCAGTTGTGGCAGCTTGACATTGAAGCTCTTCTTCTGGTCGCTCTGCAGCAGCAGGTATTCGTCCAAGTCAGACTTTAAACTACTCATCTTTCCACGGAATATTCTTGTATCATGTAGGAATTAATGCAAATATTATATATGATTTCGTCAGATAAAATGATTTAATAAAATGATTTCGTGTCTATAAAATCTTTTAAATTTTAAATTCCCTTTTTCGGAGTTCTAAAAGTTATTTAAATGTATTATTTAAAAAATGCAGGATATGTCTCCGTCTAACCTATCTACTTAGTTCCAGTTCTCTCGCTGTGATGAAGAGACTAAGAGTAAGATCTTCAAAGAGCGAGCCGCTGGCCACGCAGCTATTCCTTATGGTCTCTCTGGCCCTTCGGGTTGGCAATGATGACCTCCAGTCTCCCCCACCTCGCTATCTCTCTCTATTCCACACCACCTAAGAGGTTGAGAGGATGGCGCGCATTTTTTAACGTGGTGTCCCCAGTAGGCATAATCCACGTGTTAGTTAGAAAATGAAATTATTAAGAGAGGAAACAAAGTATAGGATAGTGAAAACCTACGCCGCACGATCTTGGCACTCGAAGAGTGCTATAACTCCAATAATGGAGGTGAAAAATTTCAAACCGTGTGTATCCAGGTACTCGGGGGGGATTTGAAGTTGTTCTATTGCGTGGCGCAAACCAAGTCTCCACATGAGGCCTGCATCCTCAAGAGAGTCATTTCTCGCAAATGTGGCTAGAAAACATTCAGCTTCTGGGAAAATTGAAAAGAAGCGTTTTGAAACTTTTTTTATTTGTTGGATTTCTTCCAGTACAATGCGTTTGCCTCTTTCATTGTACATTTGGAGAGCGTGTTGCTCAATCGCATTTAGTTCAGAATGTATTCGACTTTTGGGGAAAGTGTAATGGTAGAGTTTATCAAAAAGAAATCTACAATTTGCAAAATATGATTTTGCCAAAATGTTGATACAGTGCTTATAGTCCCAAAGAATAGGGATTTCTGGGCTAATATCAAATTTGCCAATATTTATTTGGCTGTGATCGGAAATCACGGCCAACAGAAGTTTATCCAACTTCAATATTTTTAATTGGTCTAATACATATTGTATAGAATGAAATTGCATCGAATGGGAATAATGAAGAGAAGATATTTCGGCAAAACATATCTGAAACTTCAACCCATCGAAGGACTGCAGGGCAATAGTGAAAGCAACGAATTTTTTTACGCCAATCTGAAAAAAAATAAAAAGAAAATATTATTTATTAAGAATAAATAATATTCATAAATTTCAAGAATTTAATTTTATATATGTAAAAAAAAAATCATCAACAATTCATCAGCCTTTCATCAACAATTCATCGATGAAATGTTGTTGATGAAAGCCTAGGACAGTTTGTAGAAACGCCGAAAACGCCGAATAACGGCGAAGCCGTTCGCCGAATATACCGGCAGGGTATAAATAAGAGACGCACACACACACACACACACGCGAGATGTAAAGTGGCTACGCGAAGCTGACACAAATGCAACAACAACGCGGCGCCAAAAAATTAACAGCAACAACGTTGATGAATTTGTTCTGCAGGGATATAGTCGTCCGATCCGGCCCGTTCCGACTATATATATTCAGATAGCTTAAAACCGAGCGACTAGTCGAGTCGAGTAAAACCGACTATATCACAGATCAGATATACACCAACACAAACACCAACACGCAGCTTTTTTTGTGCCCTTTAGTTTTACTTTACTTTCTTTTCTTTTCTTTTTTTTCTTACCACTGGCATGAAGAGACCGTCAACAAGGAGGAAAAAGGGCTTTTCCCACCCCCCCAATGTGTTGACGGTATTCACTGTATTCCGAGTAAGATCTGTTGAATTTTTAGCCAGATCCATAAGCACATTTATATGCTGGTCAAGCATATCAGCCGAATAATTATTTTTAAGAAAGGGTAGGCATTTAATAACTGGTATTAAGTCCGTACTCCAATCTTTTTCAATAGAAGCAGAAGCAGAAGCTTCAGAAGACACAGAAGACACAGACACGTCCATTTTTGATTCGAGTTAGCGCAAGTTTGCGCGTTTGACGCTAGAGAAGGGGGAATGGGAAGTTGCTTATCGATATGTTTTTACAATTATATTTTACAACACTGCTCCTGCCCGCTAAAAGCGTTATCTGGATTCGTATTCGTCTTAAGGATTCTATTAATTATGTCGAATAAAAAGTTGCGCGTTACTATAGAGGGAAGTAGAGAGGATGTAGTCTACTTCCTCGCATCCCGGCCGTTTCAACAAAGTGCAGGGATGCAGCAGCCCGATCAGCCTGCATCGCCATTGGTGAAGTTTGAGTGGCAGCGCTTGGCGTCTTCGAGAGCGTCTTCTACGGCCTTGTCGGCATACAGCTCGAGATCGCCACCGCCCATGCCCGAGTTGGAGGTCGCAGAGTCACCCTTGGCCAGGGATGTGCCGAGAGCGTCTTCGAGAGCGTCTTCTATGGCATTATCGGCATACAGCTCGAGATCACCACCGCACATGCCCGAGGCTCAGCCTCAGCCTGTATCGCCATTGGTGGAGTTGGAGGTCGCAGAGTCACCCTTGGCCAGGGATGTGCCGAGAGCGTCTTCTACGGCCTTGTCGGCATACAGCTCGAGATCGCCACCGCCCATGCCCGAGTTGGAGGTCGCAGAGTCACCCTTGGCCAGGGATGTGCCGAGAGCGTCTTCGAGAGCGTCTTCTACGACCTTGTCGGCATACAGCTCGAGATCACCACCGCACATGCCCGAGGCTCAGCCTCAGCCTGTATCGCCATTGGTGGAGTTGGAGGTCGCAGAGTCACCCTTGGCCAGGGATGTGCCGAGAGCGTCTTCTACGACCTTGTCGGCATACAGCTCGAGATCGCCACCGCCCATGCCCGAGTTGGAGGTCGCAGAGTCACCCTTGGCCAGGGATGTGCCGAGAGCGTCTTCGAGAGCGTCTTCTACGACCTTGTCGGCATACAGCTCGAGATCGAGTGTATACCGACCTCGAGCTTATTATCGAGCACCGACGACCTCAAAAGGGAGATTTGTCGAAAACGTGTCATTTACCAGTTCGCGGCAATGCTCGGTTTGCGGCTTTTTTGTTAGGACATTCGCAGAATTCGACGAACACAAATGCGCAGAGAATATTTTTAGATGCGATTTCGACGGGTGCAATTTTAAAGCATCCACCAGACATGGTGTTAAAGTGCACAAAATTGTTCATGGTGTTAAAGTGCACAGAAAAAGCGTTGTTCATGCTCCGTGTTATGTTCCGTGCTTACCGGACATAACCGGTAAGATTATTTAAGAGTTTAAATTGTAAATGTATTCTTATTTTTATATTAATTTATGTATTTCTTCAATTTATTTCAGAAATTTATAACCTAAGCGAATACATGAGTGGAAAAGCCGCACTCCAAAAGAAGGCTGTGGAGACGTCGAACGTCGTATTCACAAAGCCTCCCAGCACCCGCGATGCCTGCGAGCTTCCAGACCTCGAAGACATGTTGGAGGAAGGCCTTGGGGAACGAGTAGCCCAAAAGCTACCAAGGATTACATAGTAAGTGAACAGGCATTAAAATACTCAAGCCAACTTCAAGGGCAGCTCCCGTGACCATCTGCATCATCCCAAGATGATTATGGGGCGCCTCGTTTGAATATTGTTTATCGCCGTATTAAATATTTTAAATATTTCTTATATTTTCTTATTTTAGAACGAAGACAACTTCCTGGAGACCTCAGTGGGTATTCTTTTGGAAACGGACGTGATTCCGCTATGCCTGTTAGGTCTACTTCAGCCGTTGTCACCGACAATCAGGTAAGTTTTTCAACTAATACAAGAATTTCTCCTTTCAGCTTCAAATAGAAATTATATAATACATATCGTTAATGCCAATGGCAGGATCCGAACCACCATGCTGCCCCTGCAACTGGCTTCCACTTCCAGACTCCCCAGCTCCAATAGCTTGATAGCAAGACAATGCCGGCAGACGGAGTTGGCCAAAACGCAGGAGATCAGCAAGGAGGTCAGCGACACATGCACCGAAATGCTTGCCAGCTGCAGCGCCGTTCGATCTG